AAAAAAGAGAGAAAAAAAAACACGAATCGGTATTAAGTAAAGAATTCAACACGTCGATTAGATATTTAAATCAATTTCTTCCTCCCAAGCACGCCATTAAATATCATTCTTTTGATATGGCTCGAATGAATAAGAAAAAAGACGAAAACGTCATACAGAGACTGACCGAAATAGCTAAAATTAGAATAATGCAAACCGGGATATTCATAACGAAACCCGTTGTTTCCATAGGTTCGAATTCGAATTCGAAACCGGGATTAACCAAATATCAAACCGGGATAATCCGTGTGAATTGTGTCGATTGTCTCGATCGTACGAACACAGCACAATTCGCATTGGGAAAATGTGCTTTGGGGTATCAGCTTTACGGTTTAGGAGTTCTTCATAATCCAGTTTTAGAATTTGATTCCGATTGCGTTAGAATGTTGGAAGCACTGTACGAGGATCACGGTGATACGTTAGCCCTGCAATATGGAGGCTCTCAACTTGTTCATCGTATAAAAACATATAGGAAAACAGCACCCTGGACTTCTCAGGGAAACGACATAATGCAAACTCTGAGCCGTTACTACAGCAATACATTTTCAGATTCGGAAAAGCAAAATACAATTAATTTATTTTTAGGTGATCTGTTATCATTTTTTCGTGATGACGTAATTCAAGAGTTTTTCTTTAATTCCCGTTAATTTTAATAATTTCAGGTTTATTTGTACCTGATGAAAAGGGACCTCATATTTGGGAAATAACTTCCGATTATTACATTCATCATTCGTTGGCGATACAGAAAAAAGAAAAACGTCTTTACCCGCTCACCCAATGGTGGGATCCAGAAATCTTACATTTTCTTCCACGGTCGGTTTTCTTAAAAGAAAATTCTTTAATTATTATTATTATTATTATTGTTATTGAGTAGTCTTTTTTTGTGTGTGTTTAAAACGCAGATCGTATGAAGAAATGACTAAAAAAAGTACGGAACTCACGGCGGTATGTCCTAACGAAGAAAGCGTGGACGGTTTCTTAGATTATCACAGACCATATGAATTAACGTACCTGAATGAAACATTTTCATCCGAAATAAGTCACTCCGTTAGAGACTTTATGCCGAATTCAACTTCTAACGTTAGTCCTTTCGAAGTACGAATCAGACCGGGAAGACGATGGGAAGAAACCGGTGCGAAAACATCAATGAAAAATCCTTCTCTCACGGGTCAAAGTTCAACGAGTTCGACAACATCAAGCGGTTCTAGGTATGTATACATGAACGCGTGAAGTTTTTTTAAAAAATAATAATAATAATAATTTTTTTTTACTTAACAGCGCTTCGTCTGACAGCGATGATTCTTGTTCTATAGACGAAGAATTCACACCGGAATCTCAGGGCTCTCTAAATGACGATAAATCTTCCAACGAAGTAACAAATTTCGAAAAATTATTTCCAACCATGAAAGAAGTTTACGGAGTCGAACCTGAAGAGCCTAAGAAAAACATCGGCCTGTACAAAAGGTAAGTGAAAAAAAAATAACCGTTACGTTAGATGATTGGGTGGTGGTGGAGGAAGAGAAGGAGGAGTAGGGGGTAGAGAGAGAGAGAGATAGAGAAGGAGGAGTAGGGGGTAGAGAGAGATAGATAGAGAAGGAGGAGTAGGGGGTAGAGAGAGAGAGATAGAGGAGGAGTAGGGGGTAGAGAGAGAGAGAGAGATAGAGAAGGAGGAGTAGGGGGTAGAGAGAGAGATATAGAGAAGGAGGAGTAGGGGGTAGAGATAGAGAGAGATAGAGAAGGAGGAGTAGGGGGTAGAGAGAGAGAGATAGAGAGATAGGGAAAGAGAGATGAGAATTTTCTTATTTTCAACTTGATTTTATTTCGCAGATATGTTTTTCTCTATTACAATTCGATCAAAAATATTAATTCAACCATTCTTAACAGTAATCATTTATTTTATAATAATACAATATCAAATGATGATTGCTATCGAGTTGAAGTACCGAGTGTGCCCCAAAAATCCATAGACAAATATGAACAATATATAAAAAGTGGATTCATGGGAGCTTCTGCTCCTTTGCCGGGAGATTTGAAAATTTATGAAGAATATGCTGCTCAAATAAGAATAAAATAACTTTATTATTATTATTATTATTTATTATTATTTGATACATAGGTTAATTAAAAACTAATATTTATTATATCGTCTAAATCATTCGAATCAAATTTAAATATATTTTTTTCAATTTCTGACTTTTCATTGAAATTTTTAATTTTTTTTATTTTTCCTCCATTTAATTGCTCATCTGATTGTCTTTTTTTATTACATTCATGGATAAAATCTGTGAAAAAATCAGAATTTTTTTCTGCATCCATTAAATTTTCAGTTTCATCATTTTTTGAAATAGTACAATTTAAATCATTTATTCGATATGCATTATTTTTTAATTCATTATCATTATCATTTAATTTGTTTTTATCAAAAGTGTCAAATATATTTAATTTTTCTTTTTTCACATCACTAGTTTTGTTAATATTATTATGACAAAGTTTATTTGTTGTATTATTATCATGGAATAATTCATCATCATCATCTGTAAGTTCATTTTCATCTAAATATTCTGCCCATTTGCTTTTAGTTATTTTTTTCTCCGATCCGTTGTTAATTTGAGGAGCAGTAAATTCTTCACTAGAACTTTGTAATTCTATATTTTGTATATCGTTATAATCATTCTTTTGAATTCTTAATTCATTCAATTTCATAACATGAACACGACAATCTTTACCACTTCCTTTACCATAAACATGTTGAAGTGATTGTTTGGCTCCACATATTTTACATTCCCATTTTTTCGACTTTTTAACTATGTGAACCTGGAGGTAAAAATATTATTAAAAATTACTTTTAATCATTAAAAGAGGTAGTTGAATGAATTTTTTAAAAGTCAGAATGCATAAAAAACTTTTTTATAAAAACTATTATTTGAAAACATTACACAAATAGTATTTTTATGTAAAATATTTTCACTCGAATTGAATTAAACAATTTATAAAATATTTTTCATTAAATTTAACATTCACCTGAAATGTTTCACAGGAATAACATTTCAAAACGCAATTTTCTTGAGGCATATCAAAGTGTCTTTTTCAATTTGTACTTGTCAAATAAAAATTACACCAAAAGTTTTTTGAATTTCTCATAAATTTTCAGATGATAATTTTTTCCAACACTTTTTGGTTGTTTCGGTTAAAGTTTCAAAGGATAATTTTAACAGTAGAGTACGATAAATTTTAACAATCGAACGATAGAGAAAAATATACAATATTTCTTTACTTATAATGAATAAATGTGTTTAACCGTTACATAAATGTTATCAAAATTACATAGTGGCCTTTTTTAAGGAAACAAAATCAAAAATCTTACGGAACGCAAATTTAATTTTAAAACATTTCAAAACGAAAAAATGTTCGAATTTATGAGGGAAAAAAAGAAAAAAAAAACTCGTAATTGTCACATTTTGACATTTTTATTAAATAATATATATATATTTTTATTACTACAAACATTTTAAACAAAATGAAATAAATTTAAATTCTTAAGCTATTTTTTTTTTTTTTAAAATTTGCTACGGGAAAGCAATGAGTCGATTAATTGCAACATAAAAAATCCGTATAAAAAAAAAACAAACAAACAAACAAACAATTCCGTGACTAATAAATTTAAAAGAAATTTTTTTTAAGTTTTGCTCTATTTATTTTATTATTATTTTATGTATTATGAATTTAAAAATAAAAATCGATTTTCTTTTTCTATTTTTAATGTACGGTATTATTATTGGACGGAATTATAAAAGAAATTTTAATGAAAAATGAAAAGGAGGAAATGGAAATTTTAAACAAACGTGATTAATAATAAATTATTAATTTATATATATATATTTTGAAAAAATAACTTTAACTTATTAAATTTTAAATGCGTAATTAATATATATATATAAACGATAAGTTTTTTTTTTTTTGACGATTTAATTGAGCTTAAAAACACCAAGAGGCCGAATTAAAGTAGGCCGAATAAGAGGGCATAAGGAGATTTTTTTTTTTTTTTTGCGTTTTAATAGGACCTATATATTAATTTAAAAACCTTGACTCGAAAAGGTTTTTAATAATTAAAATCATCGATTAATTATTATTTCCAAATTATATTATTTATTAAAACGCAATAAATAATTCGTTCTTCAAAATCAAAACAAACAAAACAAAAACGATTCATTTATATATATATATATATATATATATATATATATATATATAAATAAATGCGCATTTAAATAACTCCATTTAAAAATAGTATTATTATTATTATTATGCAACGTTAACCCGTAATAATGATGTCATTAATGGAATGAGGGGGGAGGGGGGGGAGGAAGGAAATCAATCAATGATAATTTTTTTTTTTTGAAAATGATGATAAGAAATAAAAATAATAATAATAATAATATCTTCCGGTTATATATTAGAAAATTAAAAACAATCATTACCGAAAATATTATCATTTGTAACGGATGATTGAACTAATAATAGTAGCCATTTTGTTCTCTTTTATTAAAATTTTTTTTTTTTTTTAATCAACATAATAAAAAAGAATTTTGTCAGGTTATAGAAAAGGTCAATTTATTGATAAAATCATCATTATTATTATTATTATTATTTATGATTTTACTACGATACCTTTTTTTAATTCGTTTCCACATTGGAATTTTATATTTTTAAAAAAATTAAAATTTTAACGCGTTTGTCGTGTTTGTCGTGTTTGTTTGTTAATCATAGCCAAAACAATTTTTTTTAAAATTGATTTGTTTATTTTTTTAAATCGATAATTAACGTTTTCCAAGCTTAAATTTAAAAAAAAAAAAAAAAAAACGAAATTATTTTATTATTAACGTACGTGAATTAGAAAAAAAAAAAAAAAACAAAATGGCCGTCGCGCGCGCAAAAAAGTAAACAATGGGGGAGGGAAAATTTTTTTTTTTTTTTTTATAGATAAAATTTCACTTTGTCGTTGTTTTGTTTCTTACGAAATATTAAATTTAAATCTTTCAGGTGTTTTATTATTATTATTATTATTATTTTCACGGTAAATATCGGTTTTTTTTTTTTTAAAGCAGGTGTCACGACAGAAATAAAAACCATTTCGAGTTTTTTATTAGTAAAAGTCATGTACAATCAGGTGTCAGTTTTTATATCATCTTAACAACAACAACAACAACAACAAACAAACAAACGATAGTGTATATACATGTCATTCGACACGTACGAAACGTATAATTTTTTTTATTTTTTTCTTGCAATTCAAGTTTTCTAAGAAGTATTTAATTGATTCCATCCATTTTAAGTAATCCGTGTCATCATCCATCATTGCGATTATTATTATTATGATATACGTAAGTAAGTGACACGTCAATTTTTTTTAATAATAATAATAATAATAATAGTAATATCAGAATGTAAAATATCAGTAAATAAAATTCTTATGGTTTAAGGGGAGAATATTCAAATGATGAGAAAATGACTCCGCCCTCCCCCTGCCTCTCCCGGCTCTGCCCCCTAACGTTCTAGAACATTTTTCTTTTTTTTAGACACACACAAGTTTCAACCTGACGTTTTACGTTTAAAGGTACGAAAATTTTTTCCTTTTATTATAAAAATATATAAAAATTATACGTGGGGGGGAGGGAGAGGAAGGGGACCATGAGAATCGATCGTTATTTTTAAAACTTAATACGTCATAATAATAATAATAATAATAATGACAAATTTGACCTTTTTCTAATTGATACAATCATCTTTATATGATTTTCTCGTATTGATGGTTCATCTATTATTATTATTATCGTTCGTCCTTTTTTTTTTCAACTCGTACATTTTCGATTATTTAAATTTTTTCTTTAATAATAATAATAATGATAATTGCACACGACGAAATCATTTTTGACTCTTTTCACGCTAATAATAATAATAATAATAATAATTAAAAATATATATACTAGAAAAGTGTTCATTGATTTTATAATTTAAAACGTTTTTTTTTTTTTTTTTTTTTTAATAAAATAAATAAATTTTATGATTTAATTATTATTATTATTATTATTGTATAATTATTGATTACGAAGTTTACAGTTATGAAATAATACTAATAATAATAATAATAATTTTCTTTTATCGATTAGTAATAGGAAAAAAATTTCACTTTTTTTTTTTATTACCAAGCAGAGATTTTTGTAATAAAAAAATTTTTTTATGTTGATTTGTTTCTTTTTTTTACTCAAACGAATATTTTACAATGAAAAGTAAAGTAAAAAAGGAAAATGGTGGAAAATATTTAAGAGTTTTTCTTATTTTTAAAAACAAAATCCCAAATTTTTAATGGAAAATTCAACTGATGAAAATTATACATGTGTAACATTACATTAACATGTGTACAAAATGTTATACAATATTTATATTATTATCATTATTATTATTATCGACACTAAAATGTATTAGCTGTTTATTTTATTTAAAAAAAAAAACTTCAACATGTTTATTTTAATAATGAGTAAAATATTATTACATTTTTATATTTTACAATTATTTATAGTGATAATCCAATAACTTGTGTTTGATAGTGACCATAAATAATTATTATTATTATTTTCTCTAAATCAAGTTCAATGAAAAGTCTATGGATTTTTGGTGTATAAGTTTTATTTAATAACAATTTCAATAAATAAATAAAAGTGATGGTTGTGGAAATTTTATAGGAAAAAAATATTTAAAGATTTGGTGATGAATGAGATGAGGAGTCTGCGTTGTGTGGAAACGTTTTATGTTGTTTAATTTAATTTTTTTTTTTTTTGTAAAATGGTCGTTATTAATTAAATAAAATATGACACAATTGATAACTATACAATACTGGAAAGATGAAGAAGATGAAGAAGAAGAAGAAGAAAGTTTTACACGTAATAAATTTTTTTCATTTAAAACAACGTCAAATGTTGTTTTTGCCAATTTTGTGCAGAAATTTTTTAAATTGTTTACTAATTCTGGTGAGTGTAATAATTTTTTTTTTTAATAATAAAAAAAAATCGATATAGGATTTTTATTAAAACGTGACACACGTGGTAGTAGATTAAATATAAATTTTTTTAGTAAATTATATTTAAAAAAAAAATAATTCGTTTGATTATATTATAAAATTTCCGCAATATATAACTGCCGCAGTAAAAAAACAAGCCGTTCCCGCCACAGTCTCGATCAATGGCCCTACTATCATAGGTTTACTATAAAAACACATTAAACTCATTTTATTACAATTTTATTCATTATTTCGTCTTTTAATAATTTTTTTTCACCTATAAAAATAAACATTTAATTTTATATAAGTAAATAAATATAAAATTCTCAAACGATTTAATTAAAAAAAAAATTAATGAGTAATATTACCTCCATTTTGTGGCAAATTATTACCAATTTGTATTTTAATCGTTAATTAATTTAAAGTATTATTTATACTAATTTAAATAAGGACATATAGAAAACATTATTATTATTATTCGAGTAAACAACGTTTTTTTTTATTTAATAAATACCTTTTGATTTATTTAATTAATTAATTAATTAAAATAATAAAACGTAACGAATAGTTTTGTTTGTTTACACAAAAATTAATTTCGTTATTCCATAAATTAATTAAACATTGTTTGTTTGTTTGAAAACTTTTAATTGTGCTCAAAGGATTACACATCGAATGTTTACGCTATAAAATTAAAATAAGAATTGTTTCAAAACATTTACATTTATGAATCGTGTCATATAGTATATTAATTATTATTTGTTTTCGAACGAAGTGAATTTGGTTATGTTTAAAAATTAAAGTGACGTTAAAAATGACATTTTTAATTGAAAAAATAAAATCGTAACGATTTTTCACGATAGCATTTAATCATAAATTTATATTTATATTTATATTTAGTTTTAAATTTAATTAAAAATACGTTAATGTTCATTTTTTTGCGCGCGCGCGTGCGCGGTAGTAACGCGCCATTAACGGATAAAATGGCAGTCGTCCGTTGTTAATTATGAAATTTTGTCAT